CCATCTCTGGGTTAGTCTCGGAACTTATTGATCCATCTGTTACTTTCCGTACAATTAATGTACCTTCGTTAACGTATCTTTGAAGAGAAAAATTAGGTATTCTTCGTTAGATTAACATTACGTTCGGAAACTCATGTCAGCGTGTTGACGATAAACATAACTTTATCATGGCCCGTTGAAACTTTTAAATATATGCACTGTTTATTCTGTCAGGAACAGGAGTACAAGCATTGGTGTGCTCCCTGGGGTGCTGTGGGCATGTTGCCACTCCTTCCTGTAGTAGTCAAAAAGATATTGTATTAATATCTTTTTGACATTAACAAAGATATTATGTACCTAACTAAATGTAATATACTTCGAATGTAGACTAATTTTGTTTGAACGATATTTAGAACTATTTGACGAAATATACTCTCGATGAAATTTAGCATTACTCGGGCGTTTTAGCTTGTTTTTGCGAGTATTGCTCGGGGAGTTTTCATTTGTTCCTCAACACCTCCTTAATTATCCTTAGATCGAAAGCTCACTCTTAAACCTCTCTAACATCCTGTTGTTGTTGGTACCAATCCAGTGGCAGACTATCCAGACTAGCTGTGTGATGTTAATCTATTCGTAATTTTCTCTTAAGAAATGGGGACATTTTGGTATTTTGATATGCATGAAATCACATCTCCTTGCCTATTGAAATGAAACAAGAGTAGAAAAATAAGATGATGTTAAGAAGTGTAGTGAATTAAGCTAGAGGTAATTATATATGAGTGAAATAGAATTAAAATTAAAGAAGAAGGGAGATAGCTGATAACGTCAAGCTGATAGATGTAGATTGGAGTGACTCATCGTAATTTATTGCTTGTATTGAAAATAGTTGGAAGTGATTCCTGATCAGAATAACAGGAAGCGAATCTGGTGTAATTGAGTAGTATTTGAATCAAAATGAGTGATTTGGTAAGCTAAATCTGTGTTATTTGAACAGAAATTAGGATTAACTGAGTTAAGAGGGCTTCGACAGAGAGAGAGAGAATTTTTTCTTTAGTAAATAATCAAGTTGTTGTCATCAACCAGACTTTTAAACATTTTTAGTTACTATTTAATTAGAATTTAAGATGGTTGTGAAGTCAAGTAATGAAAGAATTAATTCACAACTGTTCTAATTAAGTGCTGTAAATGAAAAGTATATATTAGCGAACCCAGTCCTTGAGAGTAAGATATTTTTAAGTCTATTCTCAAAGCTATCCATTGACTACAATAAGCATATTTAAATGGGGAAAAAATTGCGAAACAGTTAGATTTGTACCTACTTAAATTCTTTATTCGATATTAGCTGTTAAGGAATATAGTCAATAAAACTGGAGAAAAGAAAATATCTTCGGTTCATCTCTCTAGAGTTTGGAATTTATTTTTAAAGAAATAATTTTTATACTTGGTAGGTAAACGCTGCATATATATCAGCTATGTGTGAGCGATTGCAAAGTAAAACAAACACTTTTTGAAGCACATTTGTTTAGAAAAAGATAAGGTGATTTAGGAAGAAGGAGAGAATTATTTCAATCAATCACACAACCTCACATATCTAAGGTACAATTTAACATTTGAGATATTTTTAAAACAATATAGGTTATACTGATATTGATTAAAATATATATAATTACATACAGAAAAATACAGAAAATTTATGTTTAAAAGTTTGATACACTTTATTGGAAACTAAATCTATTGCTCTTCGCTAATAAGTAAATAAAATCGATTTCTGTGTTAAGTTAGTAACTGAAAAATAACTGTTTTAATATTAATTTGTCAGCAAGAAATAAGTGATATAGTAAAATAAGTTAAGAAATAATATTTATTGTTATCTTATAATAATCGCTTGGATCTCTTTTTTTAAAAAAATTATTATTGACCTCTTGTTCTTAGATGGTAATTTTTTTTTATTTAAGTTGTTATGTGATATAAAAATCCCTTTGACTCTTTTGAGAACATATCCATCTGGAATTTAGGTAATTCAAACTTGGAAAAAATTTTTGAACGTTAATTTGTACCCCGACTAACTTAATCGGTAGAGCACGAGACTCTTAATCTTGGGGTCGTGGGTTCAAGCCTTGAGTTGAGCAATTGGCAGTTTTTTCCCCTCAAGATTAAAAGTATATGTTATAGTTATTTTTCAAAATTTTGCTTTTTAATTATTTTTATTTATTTATTCTTGATTTGTAGTGACAGTAATAAAATTAGTTTTGACTAAATCGAATTAGGAAAAATTAGAAATGGGCATTTAAGAGTTAGATGAACTATAATTTTCTTTTGTGTCAGATTTAAGTTGATGGAATGAAATGGAATGATTTTCAAATCAAAGTTATATTATATTTCATAGCACCAAAACTATTTAAATAACGCAATTACAAAAACATAAACTAAATAAAAATAACCTCATGGGACAAATATCAATATATATATGAGTGTGTGTGTGTGTGTGTGAACTCAAATACTGCTGATTCATCAGTTTTGATATTCACATACATAGGATAAAATTTAACTTGGAAATTTCAAATGACAGTGATTGATTAGCTTTTGTATATCATGGGATATCGTAAATTGACAACTAGGAGTTTAGTTTGATGTTAAACGAACACAAGTTCCAGTACTAAATTGATAAAGAAATTCTCTAAGGTCTGCTCTAAGTTAAATCCCGTTGGAAATCAAAATTCTTGAGAGTGGTTTTAATGGAAGTGTGAAAAATTACTTATCAACTTATAAGTCATTTATGTCCAACAAAGTTTGGAAAAATAAATGCTTATTTTATTCAAATATAATACTAATTAGGCACAATAAAACCCAATGGTTTTGTGCCTCGAGAGAAACTTTGTGAAAGCTAACATGAACATGATACATCTAACGTATCGCTTGTTTTATTTATTTTTCCACATACACACATATTATATTTTTATTTTGGTCTAGTCTCTCAAGCGTTGTGAAATACTTTTAAAGTTCTCCACAATAAAATTCATAAAATGAAAAAAATAACAGATTTAGTTAATCGTCATTTTAAATAAATAATTGGAAATGATTTCTTATGCGAAAGATGGAACTGTTTCTACTCTTCGAAACTAAAAACTATCGTGTTCTTCATTAGTTTTACTGTAACAATGTAGTTCTCTTCAAAAATTATTTCAGAATGTATATGAGTTTCCGGCCTATTATTTATTGCCTTACTTTTTTTTCATATCATTATGCTTTGAACCTTAAAGTTTATAGTATAATGATAGACGTTTTTACATCAAATCAAATAAAAAATTAATATGTTGATTTTACAAACAAAGTTTGAAGTTTTTGTCATTTATATTTATTTTTACTTAAATCACTTTAATTGAACAAGGAAATTAAAAATACTAATTGCTAATTTTGCAAAGAACAGTAACTGTTAATCAGTATCAGTTTTGGGAGAATCTACATTTTCTTTTAAAAAACAAAAATAAAAATATTACATTCGAAAAATAACAATAATAATATCATCCTTAAGAATTCAGTTTCATTCATACAAATGCTTTTTTTTTCTTCATAAAACTGTTATGTTTCAAATAAAATAAATTAAACTTATAAACGTGCGTTTTATACAAACCAGATGGTGCTAATGTGTTATTGTAATATTTCGGCTCTTTTTAAAATAAGATCTGCTTATGTTTACTGCAATAGCTGTCACATAATTTTACAATTAAATTAATTGAAAGAATCTTAATTATTTGAAACATTAAATGAGCGATAATATCAGTTAATTAACTGTGATTTCTGCTGTAAACCAAGCGCTAATTTTGAATTACATCATTAATTAAATGTGAAATTTAATCTTTCTTTCAAAGGACGAGACTTTTATCTCCTTTAGTATTAATTACTTCATATTTTTTTTTTAGGATGAAACTTCACTGTGTTTTGAGAAACTATCCATCTGATATTTTGTTAAGCGTAACAATTGCACACAACATTTATATCCTGGCTAGCTCGGTCGGTCGATCGCGAGGTTCTTAATCTCGAGGTTGTAGGTTCGAACCCCACGTTAGAAGTTAATTTTCTATTTCAGTTGAAGAGAAAGAAAGAAATCTTATCGGATATAATAACCCAAAATTTGATGATAATATAATTTTACAGGATGCAAAAAGAGTAAAATTAAACATGACTGATAAAATTCAATGTATTAAAATACTTACTGCATGGAATAATTTCCCAAAGTAGACTGCACCATTACGAAAGAAGGTAGAAAAAGTTTAGGGATTTTAAATTCTGATTCCTCCCAAATATATCTATGATGTCTAACTTCATCCAGGGACGGTAGATATAAAAGTTGATTTTGTTTCCTACGACTTGTTACAGTGAAACTAGTAGGTAATGGTGGGCTTATTCTAGCTTCATTTTATAAAAATATAAGGCATGCAAATTGGGAATTTAATCTGAATTTTCGAAAGTTATCACTAATTAGTTATTTTTATAGTTTATAGAATAGTTATTTTTATAGTTTATTCAATAGTTATTTTTATAGTTTATAAAATAGTTATTTTTATAGTTTATTCAATAGTTATTTTTATAGTTTATTCAATAGTTATTTTTATAGTTTATAGAATAGTTATTTTTATAGTTTGAATAGTTAATATATAGTATGAATAGTTCCCTCCCTTTATTACAATTGGTAAGCCAATTGAAACGCTTATAGCTACGTTAGTGCTATTATTATCCTTATTATTACTTAAAAATTACTTATATGAAAAAAGGAAAGCATAAGTGCAGTGCGTTTTCTAAAGCAGCAGTTAAGATTATCATCTAATTTTTTTTTTTTTCATTTTGCTCTTGATTTTCAACTTTCAATATTGTTTTAATGATTAAAAAAAACGATTGGAATTTTGTAATGTTTCGGTATTTTTTTTTTCATTAATTCTTATTTCATTGCCTATCATTTCTGAAATACTTTGAATTTTAAACTCAAAAGTTAATGCGTCATCATTGAGGCACACTTTGGAGTATAATTTTCTACAAATATCACAAACTTTTTTAGAGTATTTTATTCTTTTCAATTAAGCATACACTAAAGAGCAATTGAATTAGGTAGTTAGTTTCCAACAAATGTGGTGCTGAGGGCAGCCATGTAAACAGAAAGCAAATGAAGGAAGCAGTTAAACGGAGTTATAAGCAGTGATGTGTTGAGAATCAGAGACAATCGGACTTACGAGGATCAATCAATAAGCCCATAGAAATCAGAAGAGAAGTGTTCATTGCTTCGAAAATAGTTTGTTTTTATTAAGCATCAGGACTCACTAGACAGCTGTATAAGTCTCAGTTACTCGTATTCGTGAATATGACGCCTTTCGAACTTCAAACATTCTTCGTCATAACTTTTCCGGTCGATGAGACCATCTTCTCGTTTTTTGGAAAAGATTCACCGGAAGCAACCAACGTTTTTATTTTGCTTGATTTTTGGTACATAATGAAGAATCCAGGTCTCATCAACAGTGACAACGCTACGCAAAAAGACGTCGATGATTCAATACGACAGCAATGAAATTTTGATTTCGCAGCAAATGACTAACAAATCAAAATTACTTCATGAACCAATTTTAAATTTGTTTCTTGTGCTTTTAACAGATGGCAGCCAACAGTGGTAGCAAAAATTTACCTTGATGATACCATCTGTCTTCAAATACAAGTACTTTTTGAACCAACCACGTAGTATGGATTAAGTAAAAGATGTAGGGCAAATTATCGTATCTGACAAATGGATGATTCCGTTACGGAAATGGTGCAGTTATTGGGACATTTGAGGATCCTAGCACCATGAATAAATTGAGAGAACATAGATTCCTTTAGAACCATACACACAAGAATCTGTTAGCTTGAATTACAGATGAGTGGAGCCAATGTCTACTTGGTTGCTTTCTGACAATGGATAGGAGGTACATAGTGTAAGAGATTATTTTTTTGACAGTTAAACGCTAGTACCCCAAAAAAAGCGTTAATTTGCAAACCAATTAGAATTTTTTTATCGTTGTAAGGTACAGAACCTAATTTCGCACTAGGGTTGTGACGTTGGCTAGGGTTGTGGAATTATTCACGATTTTCTTTTCGCTATCCTCGTAGAGTTTTGGTGATTTAAATTGCATAAAATTACAATTTCTTTCCAACCAATATAAACGTGATTTGGCTAACTATATGAAGATAAGAAATGTAATAAATTGAATTAGAGAAAGTGATATATAAGTGAAATAGAGCTGAAAGGGAAAACAAGAGAGATAGAGGATAATGGTAGGCTGATAAATATTTGTAAACTGAATTGAAACATTGTAATAAATCTTTTGAAGTGAATTGACTCTTAATTAATGTATTAAGATAAGAATCGACTGATATTGACGAGTGATTAAATCAGAAGGAGTGATTTGCTAAGTTAAGACTTACTAGGCAATAAGCAAAGATTGAACGAGTTTAAAGGGATTGGAGAGAGAACGGCTTTACATATTCTTTGGTAGATAGTAAAGTGTTTTGTTCTACTCTTTCGTATCTTTAGTAAGAGATCTGTAATTATTGACTGTTCAATTAGACTTGAAGATGGTTGTAAAATTAAATAATGAAGGAACACGTCTTAGGATACCTTTGCTGACCATATATTACTGCGAGTAAAGACTAGAAAGAACACGAGAACATCACCTCTGAGCCCCACATGTATAGAAAAATATTGCCTGAACTTATAAGGCCTAGAATAAAGTTGATACATGCTGATGGCAGACTACGTGTCGATAGCAATGCAAACCTCAAGCAGGGATGGATATTCTTTCCAGCAGTATACTGTTCAATTTGGAAGGAGTAGCACTCTCGTCTGAGACTGTTTACGTAGAATGAAATGGAACTCCTCTCCCTTTCTTTGGAGCTTGGTTAGAGAAGCGAACAACGAACTCGTATCTAGATAACTGTGGAGAAGGAAATTATACTTGCTTACAATGATCTCCCAATTTTCTTAAAATTAAATTCTGATTAAAAATCTGATTTATTGGGGGTAAAATCTAAAAATTTCACCTGCTGCAGAAATGGAACCCTTAATACGTTTGAAATTAATTCTCACAGTTCATTATCGCTTCATTATCATTGACTACCATGCTTTCTCGTTTGTGAGTCTTCAGTAACCCAATCGAGACAACGTCCTTCAACAAGGTAATTGTCATCTCTCAAGACTCCCCCCTGGCCACCTACATTTTCTGTTCGCAATTTCCACGTTAAAAGCAACACAATGCTCTTTTTTATACCTGGCCAGAATTTTAGACCGAGTTCCATTTACTATACCCACAATTTCGGTTGTTTTATATACTGAAGACTCTACAAAGTGATCCTCAATGTAATTTGCCTTTCTGCCGATCCCTGAGACCTGATATTTACAGGACAACTGGTTGCACAACTGGTGTCTTATCAATTGCTATATAACATATAGTAGATATTTGACTTCATATCTGGTTCGAAAAAATCTGGCCAACTTATAGTCAATGGCCTGGATCTCACCCATAAACCACAAAACACTTAAGAAGTCAAAGGCAATAAAATGATGCTCGTTTAATTCCTACCTAAAAACCCTCAGACCGAATAGATGTTCAAAGTTACAATTTCTACTGACTAGGAAGATCTTAGTGCCCTGGCCAAATTTAAGGCACCTCAATCTAGTAATTTGCATAAGAGCTTCATTGGGGCTTATTCTTCTGAAGTCATTATCATTATTTTTCCTACCAGCTAGATTTTCTCGTTCTGAGAACTGAGATGAGACTTTCAAAAATTCAAAAATTTTACATAGAAAAGAGGGGAGCTGATGGGGTCCCACATATGTCACATATGATAGAAAATATAAGACTGAATTCATAACCTAACTGAAAAAAGTATTCAAACGACGCATGTTTTGGAAAACTGATAAAACTCAACAAAAGCAACGCATGAATTTTTGACAACATCCCACAAAACTAATCCCATGCAAACAAATAAATATGAAGCAAAATATAAATTGAATTTTTTTTGTATACGTACCAATTTGAAACGAGGGCTACATCGCATTTTTTTTTATCAATTTTTGGACATTTTTCTCGTCTTGAAGATTTATTTCCTTTGCATTCCAAAGAAATTTATTTCAAAACACAATAGCTGTTTCGGAAACCTTCAGGGAAATAACAGATCTCTACTTCGAGTTTACCTTTTTCTTTACTTAACTTTTCTTATATGTACAATAGATTCTATTCCTTTTTTACCATGTTGTTGAAACATTTCATATAACTTTGAAAGGTTTCATCGATAAAAGATTTTTATGGAATGAAAAATGTAGTGCAATAATATATAAAATTACATTTATCATGTTTAATTTAAAAATGAAGGAGTTATAAGCCTATTAAAATTCCTAACTCGATAATCAAGCAAAAATACACAAAATTTTACCTAAATATTTATTGGGTGTTGAAAAAAACTCTAATTCTTTGATAGAATAACAATGAATATGAAATAGCAAAGATTTCTAAATAGAATGTAAATGTGAATTCAAAAAAATAATAATCGTGGCTGCTGCTGCACAATAATTATTTTCTCTGATTCAAGGTAGGCATTATTTTCATCAAGTAGTGGATTGGAGCCCTAATGGCTATAAGGATCCACCGTATATCAGAGATAATGCGAATTACATCTATTCGAGGTAAGAAGCCTTCCTGAAGGCATGGTGTGGAAGTTTGGAGAGGGAGATACAAGCTCAGGTATCGTCCTAGTCACTTGCCCGAGGTTTAAAATTATAAGGTTCGTCACCAATAACTCTCATATTGTTTCTCAGTGCAACGTTAATATAGAATCAAATCAAATAAAAAAAAATGTTCATTATTTTTTTAAAATATAAACAACTCAGTGTTTAAAAAATAACACAAAAAACAGTAAACTTTCTTAAAATAAAATCACCACTTATTATTTTGATTTAATAATGTAAGTTGTTTTAGTTTTGTCTAAAATTTCTACACTTATACGACCATTCGCCTGTAATATTTTTACAACTGGCTGAAATATTTGATGT